GTTTAACAGAACAAATATCACATCATCCACCAGTTTCAGCTTTTTGTTATCATAGTGAAGATAAAGGAATAACTGCTCGTGGAGTAGATCAACTTTCAGCAAGATTTACTGGAACTTGTAAGAAAATTTTGAAAATTGGATTTCTTTTTTTCTTTTAATTTTTAAATAATAAAATTTTTACATATATATATATATATATACATACTAGCTGTAAAAATTGGACCAGGTGAACAAAATAAAGGAATTTACATTAATCTGAGTAAAAGAGGAAATGAAGAATATTTATTAACTCATCCTGTAGCCAGTGTGCAGGGTTGGTTAAAAGCTTCACTATATATAGTTGTTGGTGAAAGCTGTATTATAACTTGTCCAAAGACAAAATTGAAGGCAATATTAGAATATAAAGAAGAGGTAAATATAATATGATTATTTATTTATATAGTTTTATATGTAAATAATGTCTATGTAGACTATATAAATAATTAATTGATTAAAAATAATTACTTTTTTTTTTTTTTAAAAAAAAGCGATGGCTTGGAAAACCAAAATTTGCCATAGAAGGCAAGATATTTAAATATGATCCGAAGAATGATGATAAAAAAAAATTGAAGATAATTAACGAAAATGATGTTTTAGCCGAAATCACTGGTAGTTGGCGTGGACAAGTCCATGCAACAAGACTGGATACCAATGTAAATAATTAATTAATTGTATTTATTTTGTTGTTTTAAAAAAAAATAATTATATGAATATTATTAATATGTTTGTGTATGATGATTAGGAAACAAAATTACTTTTAGATATGGAAAAGATATTCCCAATTCCAAAAAAAGTCAAACCAATTTCAAAACAAAGACCACTCGAATCACGTAATGTTTGGAAACCTGTCACAACAGCTTTATTTCAAAAAGACTATACAAAGGCTACAAAAGAGAAACAAATAATAGAAGAAAGGCAAAGACAAAAGGCTGCAGAATATAAATCTAATAAAGAATTCAATGCTGCTTATTTTAAATTACCAGTTATTGATGGTAAACCTAATTTAAATGATGCAGGACATTCAGCAATGAAACAAGAACATCAATTCATATTTTAGGTTAATTTTATATATAGAATTATTACATACATTATTATATTATTATTATTATATTACCTAATTATTATAGATTATCATATTATTATCTGTATTTATTTGTATTTAAAAATGTTTAGAGGAGGTGGGGTAAATGAATTAAAGTTAAAAAATTAAATTAAAATTAAAAAGTTAAAAAATTAAATTAAAATTAATAACTTTACCAGTCCCAAGAAATAAGAAACCATAATAAAAAAGTTTAAAGTTCCATAGACAAGATATAAAGCCAAATAATAAAACGAAATCCTTCTGATTACCGAGAATATTTGCCATGTATATATAATATAATATGGCAATATTAGAATATGAGTATATATAAATATTTTGAAAAAATTCTTTAAAAACAACGCTGTTTAAATTGACTACTGCTTGTGTGATCAATTCAATCACCAACACTAAAGGAACAAAATTAATTGTTTCATAATAAAAGCTATTTGTTTTTTTTTTTTTGATTTTAGTATTAATGCACAGTTTCTATTCATAATACAAGTTTCGTTTTATTCGTTTTATTCGTTTTATTTGCTTTTATTTGCTTTTATTCGTTTTATTCGTTTTATTCGTTTTATATCGTTTTATTCGTTTTATTTAGTTTTATTAGTTTTATTAGTTTTATTAGTTTTATTAGTTTTATCCGTTTTATTCGATTTATTTGCTTTTATTCGTTTTATCAGTTTTATTCGTTTTATCCGTTTTATTCGATTTATTCGATTTATTTGCTTTTTATTTTATTTCGTTTTATTCGTTTTATTTCGTTTTATTCGTTTTATTTCGTTTTATTTCGTTTTATTCGTTTTATTTCGTTTTATTCGTTTTATTTCGTTTTATTCGTTTTATTCGTTTTATTTCGTTTTATTCGTTTTATTCGTTTTATTATTACTCGAATTATTTGTTTATTCAAGTAAACCTTATTTGAATAGAAACCCTAACTGCTACTCAAGATATGGTATTATTTTAGTAAGAGCTTTAGAAATATTTAACCAATAACTTAATTACAATATAAAGAGCTATTGGTTTATTAAATTAAGCCAATAATTAACTAAAAAATAGGATTAATTTTAAAAAAATATCTGATAAATATTGGCACCTTCAACATTTACTAGTAGGCTTTTAGACTATATGATAAAAATACTAAAAAAATTATTAACTTATTGGTATGCTAATACCTTGATTATCTTTTTAAAGAATAATCAGGTTCTGATATTTGCTGATACCCCATTACCCAATTTGGCATCATTCAACCAGTAAAAGAGAACCAATAGATTATATATAAGCAAAGAAAGATGGAACCCTAAATTAGAAACCATAACAGCTTGACAGCTTGATTGACACAGTGGTGCAGTCTTGAAATTTTTTTATTGTGTATTTTGAATATAATTAATCATAATCTTTAATAAAACAAACATGACTTAGCTATTTAATCATTTCCTTGTATGTGAATGCCTCCATCCATCAAATATTCA